CGTGGAAGGAGAGGGAAAACAATAAGAGAAGAGAGAGGAGAAGAAGAGCTATTGCCGCCAAAATATTTACTGGCTTACGAACTCAAGGTAACTTCAAGCTTCCAAAACACTGTGATAATAACGAGGTCTTGAAAGCTCTATGTATTGAAGCTGGTTGGATCGTTGAAGATGATGGCACCACTTATCGCAAGGTTAGAATTCGATTCGATGCTATTGTTACCGAATTATTACTGTTTTTGTGCCAATTTTTATAATCGTAGATCTACATACCAGCTAGAAAACAGTAGATCTGGAGATTAACTTTCGTTTTTAGCAATAGGATCTTGTTTATTGCTTTCTACTGTTTGATTTCAAGTTCTGAAAATAAGTTTTTCAATTTTCGATGTCCTGTTTGGTGAAAAGCATATGTTGATGATTCTAGTTTTTGCTTGGCAAAGTATTCATACTGCAGTTCCCTAATAGTTTGAGATCTGAAATGGTTGTGCTGTTTAGTAGTGTTTATGAAGTTGGTAGGAATTGAACAGATAGTGAGTAACCTGTATATTTCTCCTTTTTTTTCTGTCAAATTGCTGCAATTTGGGGATAGAGTTAGCTGGTATGTTGCTGGCGGGAGGTGGTACGTATTTCGTAGAACTAGTCGAGGTGTGCTAAAGTTGGTGACTGCAGTCATGAAAAAGGAAAAATGAACCTTTCCCCTCCCTAGCAATTTGGGTTAAGAAAACAAATTTCTGTCAATTTGCTCACCATTTGCTGTTCTGTCCGTGAAGTTGTGTGTGGATTCACTGCTGGAGTATTACATATGATGAATGAGTGTGGATATGTTTTCGAAATATTGTTTAACAATTTACTCTGAATGGGATGCTAATTTTTCTTCTTAATCGCAGGGACACAGGCCTCCACCAATTGAAAATGGATGTGTCTCTATGAATATCAGTGCATCTTCATCAATTCAGCCTAGCCCAATGTCATCCTCTTTCCCCAGTCCTGTACCTTCTTACCATGCCAGCCCAACATCATCCTCATTTCCTAGCCCCTCCCGTTGTGACGGGAACCCCTCATCATACATCCTTCCCTTTCTCCATAACTTAGCTTCCATTCCCTCTACTCTGCCACCTCTTCGTATATCTAATAGTGCCCCTGTTACCCCTCCTCTTTCTTCTCCTACCCGACGTTCAAAGCCCCCCAAACCTTTATGGGAATCCCTCTCCAGGGTTCCATTGAATTCTTTCCAGCACCCACTTTTTGCTGCTTCTGCACCATCAAGTCCCACTCGACGCCGATACTCTAAGCCTGCTACAATTCCAGAATGTGATGAGTCTGATGCCGCCTCAGTTGAATCTGCACGCTGGGTCAGCTTCCAGACGGTGGCAGCTCCAACTTCGCCTACTTTTAACCTTGTAAAACCTCTTCCTCAGCAGAACATTCTCTTAGATGCCTTAAGTGGACATGGAATGGTTGGCTGGGGCGAAACAGCAGCTCAAAAGGGACATGGCGCTGAATTTGATTTTGAGAGCTGTAAAGTGAAGGCATGGGAAGGTGAGAGAATACATGAAGTTGCTGTGGATGATCTAGAGCTCACTCTTGGTAGTGCAAAAGCACGTGCTTAAGCTCCTTAATGAGATGATTCCGATAAAGGATTAGAATAGGATGAGGTTAATTATTGAAAAAGAAGGAATATGGAGAGCTTATTCCATATCTGCAACGTTGCAATTTGCACGCGGTTCACCACATCAAATGTGCACTATAAGTCATATTGAGCCAACTACATGGATCTCATTTGTAAATTCTCTTACTATACACACCTGAGAAGTTGAATTTGAGCATGTGATTTCGTGTTCTCTATTGTATAGTTCTCTAAACAAGTGATCACCATATGAAGCTAAGATGTCCATTGAATTGAGCAGCTCGTTGAGCTAGATTTGTCCAGAGAATTGTGAAGTCAAACTGATGAAATGAAGCAACAGTTCTCTGTTAATGTTAGAGCTGCTCTTACTGTATTTAAGTAATGAACTCATAGATGCTGTGTGTTTGTATTTGTCTGGGTTTGCAAGACCCTCATATGACATTGTAATGTAGAAAAGTGCGACGAATCATGGTGAGAACATCCATTACTACTAGTTGTTAAACTTGAAGGTCACATTGAATTAGAGCTTAGCTTTTATTGTGGATTTTCTTCTCATTGACAATGTCTTAGAGTGAACTTTCTGTTTACCATTTTCTTCTCTTTAGTAACACAACAATGAAAATGGTATATGGATTTGTATTGGCTTCTTAGTGATGTTGAAAGTTGTAATACTTACTTCATGTGCTGTCTATATTTGTTTTTTTTAGTACTTGTGGGTCAAAGGAGACATGGAATGGGGAGAAAGGGTCCCTCCCCACGTGCATTCTTACTTTGTAGGGCATGAGACCATTGTCACGCTTTGTATCGTATCTCATAATACAATATGGTACAAACAAATCATTTCTAATGACCCACTATTATGTATCTTGTTGGTCTACGAAAATTGAATGAATGCAACCCTTGGATGTGAACGATTATATAGAGGTTTTGACCAAACTAAGTTATTATATAAAGTCATTCACCAAAATAATTTTTTTCTAAAATTTTACATAATTAGTATAAACGTATTTTACAGTAACGTTTTAGGGTATATTTTATTTTTTAAAAGTTGATGGCGTCAGATTGATATACGTTACTCATAGTAACGTTTTAGGAGTAAAACGTTACTGAAAATGACGTTTTAGGAGTAATACGTTACTTACAGTAACGTTCATCAACCTAATGCTGTTAGTTTTTAAAAAATAAAATATACCCTAAAACGTTACCGTGAAATACATTTATACTAGTTTTGTAAAATTTTAGAAAAATTTATTACTTTGGTAAATTATTTTATATAATGGCTTCGTTTGGTTAAAAATTCATAATATATGAGAAAAGTATCAAAAACTCTCTTAGATTTGCGCAAATTATCAGTTTCATTTTTTGAATTATCAACAGCCTTAAAAAGACTATTTTAACTATTTGAAAATATATCCTCAATCTTGCAACATGAGCGAAATATACTTCTAAATTCTCGTGAAGTTTTAGGATGTCTTTGACAATTCTTTTGGATTTTTATTACGAGTCTTATGCTCCTATAAGTATTTGAGATCACTTGCTATGTCATGTGATAAATCGAAGGTATATCAAATTTTAGTTAGTCAAGTAAATAAATATTTTTTTACGAACAAAATTGGTAACAATTTACTTTAAGTTCATGAGCGTGTCTTCTCTTTCATGCTTCCTAATTAGTACTCTATATCTCTCATATCAGGGAATATTACATAAATTAAAAGCATTTGCTATAAGTTACTACTAAATATGCTTTTCGCTAATTTTCTTGTGATATCAGCAAAAGTTTTAGTGATTATGTTTGTTACTCCATTCGTCCGGTATAATTTGTCATAATTTCTATTTTAGAGTCAAATTATAAAAATTTTGATTAGTAATTTAAAATGTATTTTGCGATCATATCAATATGCAAAAAATTATAATTTATATTACATTTATATAGTTTTAGAATATCTAATTTTTTTAATTTAAATTATCAAATTAATGTGATCTAATTTAACTTTAAAAATTAATTAAATTAACTTTTGATAAATGTAACATGACAAATAATTTCGAACAGAGAGTATTAAAAGAATATACTAATAAGTAGGATCTTCACGTGCTGTTTGGTTGAGAAACAAGATAAAGCAAGATTATATATATGTTAATGAACCATCATCTGACAAGTTTGACTGATAATCAGATTCCAGGTCAAACTATTATCGCCCTCTTTATAATTTATCATACATTTTAATAATCCCACTAATTATTTTTGTTGTTAATTAATTGTCAGATTAAAGTCTGGGGAAGATCCAGTTAAACAAAATCCCTACATTTAATAATGATTTAATTAATCTAAGCTTTTATATTGAAGAATTGCATAAAAAGTAAGTGTGAAATAAAGAACAACAAAACCTAAGATGTCTAATGAAAACATAAAATATACCCAAAAAAACACATATGGTTACAAGAAAGAAAGGCCTTGGTGAAGATATAAATTTTTTTTTGTATAATACAACTTTAAATTTTGAAATTTTGGATGAATTAAAATAAATTGAATTAATAAATTAATAAGTTATTGATCCGTTCAAAAAGTAGTTGAGCTGAGTTATGCTAAAATACAAATCATAACCCAATCCATTTAATTCTTACAAATTAACTGAAGGTCTTTTTTTTTTTTTTATGTTTTCAAAATATATGTAACAATCCAACACATTTTTAGCCACTGATTTAAGATCAAGGGCATATATTAATACCTATTCAAATTAAGAAGGGTTTATGGGTCGTTTGGTACAAAGATTAATAATGAAATTGGTAATACTGAGATTAACACTGCAGGGATTAGTAATACATAAATTAGTAATGCAAAAATTATTTTTACTAAGTGTTTGGTTCATTGTTTCCCACCTCACCTTGTGCTTGGATTAAATTATTATAAAAAACCTTATTTTCAATCATACACCTGAGTTAAGGTAAATAATTGGTGGACAATCCATGTTATTTTTATGGCCTTCTTAACTAGTTATGAAAAGAACAATTTAGTTGTCATGTTTGTCTTTTTTTATTATTTAAGGATAAATAATTGTCATCTTAGTAAATTGATCACTTACAAAGTGTCAATTTTCATTTTTTTTAAAAAAAAGATTAACTATCAACTTTTAAAATTGAAAAGACGATAAAGAATAGTAAATTTGAATAAACCATCTACATTTACACATAAAAATTGCAAGTTATAATTTTAATATTTATTAAATTTTATAAATTGTTCAAAATACAAACAATTAGAAAGTTGCACAAACATAATAATAATAATAATAATAATAATAATAATAACACACTACTAGAAAACATGCCTGTAGCAACAATTATTTAGCAACAATTAAATATGTGTTGCAATAGATACTCATTCGCAACGGTTATAACTTTTGCATTAGACAACTAGACATAATGAAACACTTTGAGAATTAAATCATTGCATTAGTACTGCAACGTTGCCATATTATCTTTATATTGCACGATTCGTACAAACTGTTGCCTTAGATACTCTATGGCAACAATTCCGTCAATTATTTCACTCCACTTATTTCACTACACCCGTCAAAAGAGTTTTTTTTAATTAATTGTAAAAATAAAATAAAAAAACCTCATTTTTAATTCAAATCGCTGATCTCTAGTATTCAATCTCAGCCTTACATCTTTTTAAAAATCAATGATCTAGATCAAAACAATTGGCTTTACCCACTTTAATCTACCAAGAGAAAAATCCTTAAAAAAAATTCCACTCCCCACCCTTCACTATAGCAGCGGCGCCCACTCTCTCTTTTCCTCCCCTCCTCATCGTTGTTTCCCTTTTCTCCCCGGCGGGAAACAACAGCCAGAAGCTCCAACGAGCAGGCTCTATCGACGGAAACAACAAGCTCCAGCCGGCGAGCTCAAGGCAGCGTCACCTCTTTCTTTCTTCCAGCAAAGACGAGAGAACGACAACACCAGCAACCGATATCCCTAGCGCCTCCCTCCATTCTTTTCTCTTTTCCAGCAGCTCCGACGATGACCAACAATAGCACGGAGATGACCAGCGTCTGGTCTTCTCTTTTCCATTCTCCGATCAGCAAGCTACGAGGAAGCAGCTCCGATGCAGCCACCTTCTCCTTCGTAGAGTTGATTTCTATCAGACATGAGTATCGATAGTTCTATCCTAATCTTTAGCTGAGTTGAATTTGGTAATCAAAGTTTTGCACTTTAAACTATTTTAAAAGTAGAATAAAAAATTCCCTCTTTAGCAAGCATATTTTTTTTCATGGCATTTTTTGTTTGTTTGTGGTGGTTTAGATTTGAAGGAAGTTGCATCACTGATTAAAGGTGGAGCATATACAAATGAAGTGCAGAAGATATAGAGGGCTATGAGATTGACCATGAAACTCAGGAGCAAACTAAAGGCTTCAGTACTTTCTACTTTTTGGCCTAATTTTGTGAACTTGAATGAATGTCAATTTTTGAACATTCTAGGATTATTTTATGTTTAAGCTTAATTTTTATGATCATCAATGTATGTTAAATCTTGAATTGTGTACTTATCTTTAATATATGGATGCGACTAGTTGAAATACATATTGGTTTAATATTTTTTATCATTATATTATAGTTTACCTTAATAACACTGTTGCAATAGTTTAGAAGAACCGTTGTAATGAGTAGATCGAGTTGTATAATAAAGTTGTTGCTATAGGTCTTTTGCAACGGTTCGCATGTTGCAGCAACCACAGAAAAGTGTCGTCCTAGACTAAAGAATAATTGTTGCTATAGATAGTGTGTTGCAATAGTTTACAACTATTTTTATAAAACCGTTACTATAGACATATCGCAACAGACTTATATACAACACACCAGTTTTCGTTGCCATAATGCAATTGCAATACTTTTTGAGTCTATGACAATGATTATTCTAGTGTTGCAACAGACCTATTTTCTAGTAGTGACGACAACAAACAACTCTCTCTAAATTATTTGTAATCTATTTTATTAAAATAAATTTACTAGCACGACCACAAAGCATAAAATCAAGAATATAAACAAAATAATTAAAATGTTTTGAAGAATATTTTTGTCTTTAATAGACTTATCCCATGTCATTATATCATATGTATTACTATAACTCCAAATGGAAGGTATTAGTAATACATCATATAATACCATGTAGGAGGTATAACTAATCCATATATTAGTTATATATAGATCCAATTTCCTATCAAACATAATACTAAATAATACCATACATAATACATGGACTATTTATTTTAATGGGACCTACCAAATGATCCCTAAGAAGGTATTATTTCTCAAATTTAACATGTTAACGGGTAAAGCGAGTTTCTTTTTATAACAAATTTGATTGAGTATTCTATTAGAGAGGAGTCATAAGTTTAGAGATCACCTAATTAATACAAAATTAAATTTAATGATTTGTTACATAATAGTCGAATCATAAACGGTCTTTTAAGATATTAACTCTAATGAAGATCAATTATCTATTTGCCAAAACTTTCAATAAATCACGTAATCAATTCGTGAGTTTTCAAGATTTAAAAAAACACAAAAATGGATTTTAAAGTTTTTTACTTTGAGTCACCCAGTAATATTAAAGTTTAATTTGACGGAATATTTTTTGAGTTGTTAAAATTTTAGGATGAAAGATTAAATTGATAAGTTTTTATCATACATAAAGGATCTTTTTCATAAGTTACATATACGAGGGACCAATCAATCTAAGTCCATATATGAAGGACTATTTTGATCCTTTTTCTCTTCCCAAACAAGCTACGAAAAAAGAAAAGAAGTGGTATGTATGTAGTTATAGTTTCAATCCATTAACAATTAATACCCACATAACTTATTTTATCTTTTACTCTGCATAAAATTATAGGTAGATTTTGTTATAAGTTATGTAAGTATTATTATGTGGAATCACTAAATCACAACCAACGTTGTATAAAATTAATGTATGAATAACTTTTATATAACACTTAGAACATACCAACCAAATATTGTATATAATTAATATATGAATAAATTTTATTTTATTTACAAACCAAACATTGTATAAATAATACATGAATAACCTAAGTTCTTTATATATTAGCTTGGGCTTATCCAATAACCAAAACGGCCCCTTAACATAGTGAAAATAACTCAAAAATGTCTTTCTTTCATCTATTGGATAAAAAAGAGATAAGTGTCGAAAACACACATAAATTGTACTTTTTTTTTGAGTTTCATACCTAAACTATTGAAAGTTTGAGTTTCATACATAAACTATCACTTTTTCATTTGAGAAACACACCTCTCTCTTTTATACCACCCTCATCATGGTATGTGTAATAATTTAAAGAATTTCTATACCACACTCCACATGGACAAAGTATTCAACCTTGACAATAAATAAATAAATTATAAGTATTAGTTAAAATTAAAAATTAAAAAACTATTATAATTTTTTTTACTTTTTTTATAAAATAAAATGTAAAATATTTTTCTTACCCCACACCATTTTTTAATGTTTTTTATTTTGTTTAAATTTTTTTTATAAAAGTATTTCATTTTTTACTTCATCTCCTCCCCCTCATCAAATACTAATTTAGATATTATTTTATTTTCTTAAAAATATAATTCTACCCATCCCACTTAACTCTCCTCTTTCAATTTTTTCCTCCAGTGTTAAGATATACATATTGAAAATATTTTTTACTTGCTGCCACAAGACTTTTATGTTTTTTAGTTCTTTATGTTATATTCGGTACACTAGTAGAATTTTTTTTCTAAAAAATATATGTACGTGCATATCTAACACAAAATAAGAAAAACGTAAAAAAAAATAAAATTAAGAGCGAAAAATTAAATAGGATGGGATAGATTTTTTAAAATAAAATAATATCAATTTCATTCGGGGGGAGAGGGAGGGGGAGGATGAAATATGAAGTTTTTAAATTTTTTTATAAATGACTTTTTTTTTAAAAAAAGGATGGGGTTGTCGAAGGGAGGGGAGGTACGTGGAGGAGGTGGTAGAGTGAGATAAGAAAAATAATTTAATTTTTTTTATTGATAGTAATCTTTAATTTTTAATTAATATTAATTTTTTATTATTTAATTTTTATTTAGATAAAATATTTTATTTATGTGGAATACCATGTGTCAAAGTTTTTTCATATAAAAGAGAGAGTGCACTACACACTTCTGAGATGTGTTTCTCAACTAAAAAATAATAATTTAAATATGAAACACACTTTTTTAATAATTTAGATATGAAACTCAAAAAAAGTGAATAGTTTATATGTGTTTTTGATATTATCTCAATAAAAAAAGTCTTATCATCCACTTATTAAATAAAAAATGCCCTTTGAATTCAAATTTAAATTCAAACTTAACCTTGTTTTAATAGAAGTTACCGTTGCATAAACAAAATTTTATTTAAATATATGACATTATTTTTATTGGTCCAAATTTAATTAACTTTTTGGTAGACTTCACACTGTTATCTAATTATTTGCTATATTTTTTCACTTTTTTTTATATGACTTGTCAGAGCCAAAAATCTTTCGAAAATAATCTCTTTAGTCTCTATCTTTACGAGATAGTGTGATCATTAAGGTTTACTTACATTTTATTCTCATCAGATTTCACTTATAAAATTTAAACTTACGAATAAAAATAAAATATACATTTTTATATAATAAACAAATAAAAATTAGTGGAGCAAGTTGATTTACATTATTTACCATCAATTACATGACAAGAAGAAAATTGATAGTTCATATTAGCCTTTGGTTTTGTCCAAAGAAAGCATATATACTTATGGCTTACATTATTTCATGCTCCAGCTGTTTGTCCAAAGAAAGCATATATACTTATGGCTTACATTGTTTCATGCTCTAGCTGTTTCTGAATTATGAGAATCCCTATTTATAGTTTTTTAATAGAGGAGTTGCGATTGAAATAGAATTCTGTTCGATCAATCAGATTTAAGTGACGTGTTAAAAAGATTTCATTGCATTATTTACCATCAATTTTTTTTTTAAAAAATCAGAATTCCAAAAAATTTAACGTAACAACGAAAAGAGAAAATTTAGCTATATAATGAGATAACGTATTCCAAACGCAAACAAAATTAATCTCCGTAAAAGAACACGTAAGTGACTAAAGCTATCCATGGCCTCATATAATTAGTTGAAACTTTTTTTTTTGGGTCATAACTTGGCTTTGGGATAAAATATATAAATCCATGTTTTTAGTATATTTTATGTAAAATTTATAGAGATCTCACATTTAATTTCACTTATTATCATTATTCTCCATTAGTTTTTCATTATTCTCCATTAGTTTTATAAATTTTTAAATTTCTTATTTTCTTTAATGTATTCAAGCTGCAATTAATGTATTTGAGTCAGTATTTAATATATCTGAGCTATTATAATAATTTAAAATTTATTAAAAATAAATTTATAAAATAATTGGAATTATATTAAATTCGTAAATATATTAATCCAAATAAATATTGTGGATTGATATAATTGAGTTAAATATTTAAGTCCAATAAATATGAATTTAATTAAAGTCTAAATTAATTGATTTGGACTACAATGGATGAACCCAATTTGTTAAGCCCAATTTCATCTCATTCTAGAACCCATCTTGGCGCCACACGTGCAAATGATGTGGCATGTCAAGTCAAATAAGAAATCGATAGAATTATTATATGTGTCAAAGATGACAAGCCCACTCTATAAAATCCATATGCCATGTCACTCAAATCTGATTGACCGAACGGAATCCTATTCCAATCGCAACTCCTCTATTCAAAAACTATAAATAGGGGTCCTCATAATTCAGAAAAGACACAAGAAAAAAATATTCTAAACAAGAAACTAGAGAAATCCGTGGTACAAATGGCATTTACTTCTCTACAAAGTTAAAATTCTAAGAATTCAAGCATTCAAGTTCAAAAACGATCAAGATCAAGACCATCGTATTCAAGAACACGTTCGAAGCCCTTGAATTCAAATAAAAGTCAAGATCAAGATAAAGTCAAGTTCAAGTTCGTTAGAGATTCAAGATCAAACTTTAAAACCCTTGAATTATATTTGAAAAGATGAATTCAGAGAAATCATAGAGATTGTAACACTCACACTTGAAATAATAAAATGATTGTTCATATAATCTTCTGTTCTTGATTATTGTTTCTCGACGCGAATTTTATTGTCTACAACTACATCTTATGTATCCGAGCTACATATTAATATATCCGAGACAATGTCTAATGCATCCGATTTACAATTATTGTATCCATACTTTTATTTTTTTGAGGGATTTCTGTAATTATAAACTTTTAAGTGATAAATTATAATTTTACCTTAAAAATATGTGATTTCTATAATTTGACCATATTTTATCTTTTATTTGGTTATGAACAGAACCGACAATATGGGCTACGTCCGTTAGACAGGCCTAACCTAATCGGTGATTCGATAAGGCTAAGCTATAATTTAGCTACAATTTTTTTAACCTACATCCTTATAAATTAGGCCGACTATTTTTCGATCCACTTAAAAAAATAGACTAATCCAACCTGAT